CTCTCATTAGCGTGATTAATTGCCTCCTTGCTGTCGGTAAACAGTGTGTGAGCCGTATTCCAATTTATTCAGTGAAAATTATCCAATCATAATTAAACACTCTGATCTCCCCCCCCCCAAACCCCCCCCAAACCCCTCTTCCAGTACGGGCTCTCTTCACACGCGGGGCGAGTCTTCCCTTGATTAATTTTAACCGAGCCTCCTGTCATTAGCAGGATGATGTAAGCGTCACTTTGCTCGGGGGTGAGCGTTTATAAAGCGTCACAGTCGAGCTTGTAACGGTCAGTTTTTTGACGAGTTGATTTATTGCATGAACACACGGGCCGGACAGCTCGCCCTTTCGGCCTCACAGCTGGATGCCAACCCCCCCCCCCCCCGTGGTGACCTTCTGCCCTTGTTGCAATGACACACTTTACAGCCAGCAGGTCGGCTGCTGTGCGACACAATAAACACAGCGACGCAAAAATAAAGATGGCTGACCTTCAGGGCCGAAAGAGAACTTGAAAAGGATGTCACATAAATCTAAAAAAATAAATAAATTAAAGATGGACAGATTAGATCAGAGATTTGTCTTTGATGAGGTGATAGAGGAGGGGAGGGTGACAGAGGAAACACTCAGCTGGGAGTGAAGGGATCAGATTGAGGGGAAGGTCAGTTGTTAGCTGAACTGATCACAGTATGGAGACTCATCCTGCGTCCTTATGCTGCAGGCAGGGGAGGAGCAGCGATTTCAAAAGTGCAGGTGTTCTAATGCTAGTATATTAGCACCCTCTAGCAAATCAACACATTCTGTTTCATTTAATGTCCAATAACTAATGTTAGTTGACACATACAACAAGACAAAGTTACAAAAGATAATAAAGGCTTAATTGTCACTTAATAAATCTTACTTGACCAATAGGTTTTCATCGATGACTCCACTGGTAAAAAGTGTGAGGGATGTAAATACGTTTCAGTGAAAGTGTGGATGTCGCAACACCCACATCACCCATGGGTGAGACGCGCCTGGCGGCAGGGTAGACGTCTTATATCATGTGTTATCAGAGGACTCATCTCTTTGTTTCACACATGACACCCAGTTGAATAGGAATGCAAAAGATTTGATTTGTACTTCAGACGCTTGACAAACCCCTAACCCTATCCAGTAATCACTTCCTGTCTACGCCCCTGGACCATCCACAAAACATGTGTGATGAGTTGCTGTGTAATATATAAAGTTATAAGTAATATATAAAGAAAGGCCGACACATCATGATCTTAAAAGACAACATCAGTTTTGAAGAGTTAAAGATGAGACAGAGCAGAGTGAGGAAACTGAAAGAAGGTTTTGACACTCTTTTCTGATGTTCAGAAGCCCAAATCTTCCTCCGCGATTATAGCATAAAAAGTCATAATTTTCCCTCTCGCTGCAGGTCGTGTGCATCTCTATTCAAACTGTAGCCTCTCAGACTATTTTCCCTTTCTGTTTATCTCACTCGCTGTCAACTCCAGCTCACTTCTATCTGCAGCTGACATGAAAGCAAAGAAAGTTTCCAACAGATGAAGTTAAAAGGTCGACTTTTCAGCTTCTCACAGCCTCTCTCTTTCTCGCTCGCTCGCTCTCTCCACCGGTATTGTGGCTTTTTGTAAAGAAGCTGTCAAAGTTACATTTCATGTTTTGACTGCTTCAGAAATGATTTTCTATTCAGAGCTCTGAGGGCTCGTGCTCTTATCCTCAAGAATGAGATTCAAGTGTATAAAATCCAATTTTCTCACCGCGATGGGGAGGCTCCTACCTCCTACTTCATTGAGACGCGGTGGATTGCACCATCGTCGCAGGGAGTATCACGTTTAGACCGAAGCGTTACCTGAAGGCTCTTCATGGCACTAAAGACAAACATACAAAAAACACACCGCAGTCAGAAGTTCTCACAAGTCTCCTCCTCCAAGGTCGAAGGAAATCTGCCACAAAAACAAAACTCCCTTTCTAAAAATACCAACTTTTTAATTTCCCTCCAACCAATAAGTCAAAGAGATGATGGACGTTTTATCGCGGATTATTGCTCTTAAATCTCAAAGTAAAAGCGTCCTAACAATAAATGGAGATTTCGTCTACATATGAAAGCTTTCTCTCCATTAAAGGCCATTTATCCAACATCCCTTTAGGAGTAATGGGAGCTAAACTGTGCACACACAGAGCTCTTTGACTTGATTGCTGTGATGGATGCGATTTGATTGCAGGGCAGTCGCGGGGCAAATTGTTGCTTTCAGAATTAAACGTCTACCAGAAACTGAGAGAATTACTCTGCTTTGAGATCGTGATTTTTTTTCTCTGATAGAAAACAGAAATAATATTCAGGGAATAAAAAGTTACTTCGATGAGTTGATGAAGAAAGAATATGGATTTATAAGCCGTTGCAAACACATGAATATGATACACAAAACAAGCCCCAGAGTTTTTATTTACTCCTGCTCATTCTTTGACTCGCCATGCATGTGAGGGGAAATTCTCATCGAGACGTTAAATCTCTGAAGTGATGAACTCAGAGTGATGAATGGACCCAAGTGTTCAATGAAAACCCTTAGTACAGTCTGTGCCGTCCTCAGGTACTGTGCCCGAGTCCACTTGAAGAGGAGGTCTCAGGCATGATTAATGTGTACTCCAGCATGGAGATGTGAACACAATCGTGCTCAAACCAGGAAGTGGACCGCTTTATGACGTCATTCAAAACGTCCTCCTGTCGCTTCAAAAAGCTGTCGTCTCCCTGCACGGTGGATGTGAACGCAGGAAGAAGGGTCGTTGATGCAACTCAGAAATAACAAAAACTGTACACAACGGCTGCACCCACATCAGAGACACATCCAACAGATGCAGTCAAAAGAAATGTAGTCGTAAAAGGAAATTACCCCAACGGTAAAAAGCAGTCTTATTCAACTGATCAGATTCCACATCTGCATCAACAAGGTGACAGCACAGAAGAGTTATTTGTTCTAACACCATGTCGAAGGTTTGTTATGTAAAGAATTCAAATTCAAATTCAAAAAACTTTATTTGTCCCAATTCAAAGGCACACAGAGCAGTAAATTAACAACAGTGCAGGTAGACTAAACATTTTAAAACCTAAAATATAAAGTGTCAGTTTAAATACAACTTAAAGCTTAACTTAAAATACAAAATATAAAAAGAGTAGATATAAGTGGACAGTGAGAGAACGAGAACCCGCTGAACTTTTGTGGCTGAAAAAGTTACCCCGCTTGAATCCATCCTTCCCTGCCTCTGAAGTATCTGTCCATCTTTAAACCTCTTATCTGGTGCAGAGTGTTGGTGCGGGCTGGAGAATATCCAAAATGCCAGCCAGCACTGTGCAAGAAGGGGAGGTATACATCCTGGAAAGAGGTGCCAGTTTATCACAAAGCACTGCAGAAACCACTGCAGAGTTGACCAGGCTGTGTATAAATCTGAACTCACCACATCAACACTTCTTTTTTACGCTTATTTCAAACAGCTGAGGCCCAGAGGTCGACGTTTGGGTCACAACTCAGAGGTGCTTTTTGTATCCAGATTGTCCTGCAGTGTGAGCCAGTAAACATGTTGTCATCATGGTTGTTTATGAGAGAAGTTTCTATATAATAAAATTAATAATAATATCTTGGAAGGATGTAGCATTGTGGATTATTGGGAGAGAGTTCCGGGGGGGGGGGGGGGGGTGTAACACTGGAGGCTCTGCAGGTTGGTGTGGGGAATAGAGAGCAAACTAGTGTCTGAGTACTGAAGGTTTCGGGTCGGCCTTTAGAGCGCCACAGGAATGAGTCCTAAAACCAGGACGTAAGTTAGCATTTGAGCTCCATGGGGTCTAACGTCTAAAAGTCAACAGGGATTTTGAATGTGTTTGTGGTTAGACTCCTGAAATAAGGTCTGTGGTTAACACAAGCTGAAGAGATGTTGGTGTTTTGTTAGAGCACATAAACTACGTTAGGTAATACCTCCACTTGTGAAGTTTGAAGTTTTTACTCGTCTTTAAAAAGGCGGTTGCTAACAAGCGGCTAAATGTGACTACAGTGGTTGTCGGGGACATTAAAGGTCATCACGCCGGACACAGAGGGCGGGAACTCTCTCACTAGTCGGAGATGTCTCCTGTAGGTTTAATCTTTAGGTTCAGGTGAATATTATGTTAGTAAACTATTTATTAAGCTACGTGGATTAGTTTATCAGAGATCGTCTGAAGCATAACGCTAGTGACGTCACAACCATCCCACCGTGGTGTAGTTAGCTTTAGCATAACGTTAGCTTTTTACTTCTGTCAGCCGCATTAACGCTTCAAACATCATAAAGATGGCGTTCATCTGTGAAGATTATCCTGCTGAACAAAACGCCTACGCTTCAGAAACGTGAGTTTAACACAGAGATTATTTATTAATGATCCAAAATCCAATGAAAACATCCCAGAGGAGGATTCTCTTTAGACGTCATGGAGATGCTACTTCAGGGTTGGCCTACAAAAATACGTCACATGGTTTGTTCTCTTTAGGGGTGAAGGAGGCCAGAGAGGCCAGAGGGGGTGAAAGGCCTACATGCTGAGGTGTGTAGGTAGGGAGGAGGATTTTATATGTGATGCAGGTGTTGACTGGGAGCCGGTGAAGGTGGATTATGGTGGGGAGGTGATGTGCTGCCAGGGTTTAGTAAAGGTGAAAACCCTGGCAGCTGAGTTCTGCACATACTGCAGACGGTCCAGAGCTTTGCTAGCTACCCCGAATAGGACTCCATTAAAATAATCCAGACAGGTAGTGATGAAGGCGTGCATGAGGGATTCTGCTTAGGGGTCTGTGAGTGATGGCCGGAGTCTGGAGATGTTTTTTTGATGGTGGGATGCAGACTTGGTGATGGATTTGGAGTCCTGAATGACACCCAGGGTGCGGACTTCAGGGACTGGGCAAATGGAGCAGCCGTCTTATCGATTATATTTGTGCAAATATAATCTATTGCTGATTATATCTCGCCCTCTTCCTCTCGCTCTCTGCAGAGCACCTTAAGGGGGCGCTGGAGGAGTACATGACTCGGATGCCGAAGGTTCGCATCCTGAGGACTAAGAAGAGGGAGGGGCTTATCAGGACTCGCCTGCTGGGAGCCGGAGCTGCCAAAGGAGAAGTCATCACCTTCCTGGACTCTCACTGCGAGGCCAACGTCAACTGGCTGCCTCCACTGCTCGGTGAGAAACACACACACACACACACACACACACACACACACACACACACTCTAATGCACACACACACACACCCCCCACAGTGAGGCGGTGCACTCTCTCGTCTGCCTCATGGACCTGCACCCAATCAGTGACACTTTCTCAATTATCTCTTTCCATTAGGGACTGTGGTTCAGCTCTGTCTCCCTGCAGGGGGCCCGCCCAACATGGAGCCACTTTCCCAACAAACCCTGCGACCCACATTACCTCCACGTCAGACTTTGTACACAGAACTCGGGAAACGACTTTGTGAAACTAACAGGCTTTTGAGCTTTCGAGCTAGAAAACGGGTAAAAAAAAAAAGATACCTGAGGGAACCTTTTCTAACTTTCATATCACAAAGTGTTGTTTTTTTTCAATTGTTTTTTATGCACCAATTCTTTGAATATTAAGTTATATTTTTTTGCCAAGTTTTGCCTTTAGAGCGAGCTGAAGAGAGACAGGAAGTGTTGGGAGTAGAGAGTGGGGGTGACATGCAGCAGAGAGGCGGGGTCAGATTCAAACCCACAGCTGCTGTGATGAGGACTACCCATAACCGCTGGGCTATTGGCGCCCCTTAAATATTTAAGAGTGGTTGTTATTTTCCTCTGAGATGTTTCAATTACATGTAGCCCCGCCTCCTGCTTTATCCTTCATTTCACCCACAATAAGCACCATAGTGTAAAATAAAACTGGTCAATTAAAGAAGATGTGAAGCAGAAATGATGAAGTACTAGCTTAAGCCAGGGACACACTGTATGATTCCAGGCTGATTTTGACCCCATTTTTGAGTTGCACCCTCAATCTCATGTTGCATGCCAATTGGGGAACATGGAAGCATAAGAGCCAATCACGGCCCAGTATGCTGCTCCCGACTGTTTGGATGAATTTCTGGCATGTTTGAAACGTTGGTCGTGCACAGTGAGAGCAGATAGCACCACTTGCTTTTTTTTCCACCTAATTGCAGACTGCCTTTGATATCACCATGGCAACAGCCTGTATTGGCAGAATGCTGCAGGGCTGCCGGGTGGAGGGAGGGGGGGGGCTTGAAGCCGTCTGTTGAAATTGTTGAACTGGTGAATGTTCATATCGGGGGATCTATTACGTGATTTGCAGAAAAAGACGATTAGCGCCCTATTTCTCCAACATATGTTTCCCTCTCTTGTGTCTTCTTGATTTTTGAAACCAAGAGTTATGTTTACCGATGAACGACAGACTGAGTCACTCTCTCTCTATCGTGCGTGCTACAGGAAGGTTTGATTTTACAGTCTTGTGTTGTTTGGCTGTTGTAGCCTGTAGATAAATAAGATACCGTGGACACTAATAAAAATATACAGAGGAGAAGATTTGACTTCGAGCAGCGAGGAGACCAGCAGGGAGCTGTTATATCACTTACTCATCCATTCATCAAACATTTTTCCACCGAGCGAGCGACCTGCATCAACAAACTGACAGACTGGCAAAACCCTTCCCACCGCTCAAACACACAGATCAACTTCCTGCTCAGACTCTAACTTATCCAAACAACAACACCAGCCTCTCCATTAAAGTCTTTATATGTGATTTTTCACACTTTCAAGAATATAAATCAAATATATCCTCTGAAAATAACTCTGTGAAGCCCAATTCACACATACTCCGTGCACGCTGCGGTCCGTCAGCGCCGCGCACTACGTTGTACTTAGCTTCCACTCTAGTCAATCATTGTGTTCACACGGGGCGCGCTGCGGTCCGTCTCCAGCGCGTGACACCGACGGCGCTGCGCTCTGCTCCGTTTCAAATACGCAGCGAGTCTATTTTCACCGGAGTACGCTGCAGGCACGCGTCAAGCTGGACAGAATATGACGGCCCGGACAGGAAGTCAGACAAGGAAACGCACAGAGCGTCCGGTCAATTTCAAAATAAAACATAATATACGGACTCACGATCGTATTTTTTATCACTTTATCAACATGACGTCAAAACAGGAACCGAATGAACAACAATGCATCCTCAGAAAGACAAAGCAACATGTTTGCATGTTTTTCTCTTTATTCCCGCGGGATCTTGTAGTTCTCCTGTGATGTGTCATGGGTGCGCTCCGCTGCAGATCCAGAAACGGATCCAGTGTGAATGGACGCGAGCCGGAGCAAAACCGTGGCGCTGACGGAGTATGTGTGAATTGCGGGTGAGTCGTGACTGTCTACAATGGGTGTAACACCCGAGTCCCACTGTCTGTGATGTTTTCAGAGTTTTCAGAGTCCTATCTTCGCTTTGTTTACATCGCCCGGACGGCCGGCTGACTCCTCCCCTCGTGTATAAAAGTTGTTTAATTGAGGGACTAGAGAAAAGAAGAATAACATACTGTACTCACTGCTTAACTGTGTTTCTAGATCACGCTCATTTCAGGTAAATTTACATGCAGTGTGAAGATACCAGCATAATAAAGATCGCTAGCATTAGCATGCTAACACAACAATGCAGCGCCAGTTGTTTTGGTTTCATGCTGGTGCTCAAGGGCGACATCTGCTGGATCAAAAAATCACATATAAAGCCTTTAACATGAATCATCTTCCTCCCTCTCTGTGTCTCTCAGACCGAATCGCCCAGAACAGGAAGACCATCGTGTGCCCGATGATCGATGTGATCGACCACGATAACTTTGGCTATGACACGCAGGCAGGGGACGCCATGAGAGGAGCGTTCGACTGGGAGATGTACTACAAGCGTATTCCCATCCCTCCGGAGCTGCAGAGGGACGACGCCAGTGAACCTTTTGAGTGAGTGACAACACAAGTTAAGACTCGTCTGTCAATGTCCTACAGGGAGGCACGTTTATGTACATCTCACATTTCAGCAACAAGACAATTCAAAGATCACATAAGACATCAGAAGCATCAAAACAAAGAGAAGAAGAATGATGTCATGCTCTGGTTGCCTTTTAGTGTTACATTACTCTGGGTCTTACTTTCCTGACTGACACAGATTCACAGATTGGTCTTGAATAATCAAAAATAAATACATTTTACAATAAAGATAAAGAGAAACTTTGTTGATGCCCCATTGGGGAATTTTTTTTTGTCACAACAGCTCAAGAAACAGAAATATAATTATCAAAAATAACAAGAAGTTAAAAATCAAACATATGTACATCAGTTAAATAAAGGGAGAAAAAATACAATAATAGAATAATACAAGGTAATACAAGGGTGCTGTGGTGGTGAAATCCACCCAGAGTCATTACAGTTCAACATTAAACCAATTTGTAATCGACAGTTGTGTTGGCTCTGTCAATGGATAGAGCCAGAAATCAGGGAGAGAGGGAGTGACTTGTGGTAAAGGAGCCAGAGGCCGTTTACATCAGTGTTTGAATTCTTGGTGTAAGGAGGCAGAAAGGTTACACTGACCTTGACCTTTTGTCTGCCAAAGTTTTAACTCTCATCCCGGGTCAAGGTGGAAATGTGTGTCAAATGCAAACGGAAGAAACATTCAAAACACTGAAGAAGAAAAGAAGGCTTCAGGTGTAAAAAATAAAAAAGGTTTCTGTAGTCACAGCTAGATTCTTTCCAACCTTTTCACCCGTGTAGAAGAAAAACTGCAGAGACTCGACGGCTTTCACCGTGGGACTCGTATCTGTGCTCACAGCTCAGGAGGCGTGGGAGCCCCCCCCCCCCTCCCCCGAGTGTTCCTCGCTGCTAACTGTACAGGAGCTGCCCTGTTTGCCTTTAATTGATCCTCCTCAGGGACGACTTTGGCGAGAGCAGACTACCTGCTGGCTGCCTGCCTCCGACTTCTACCTGATGAGAAAGCTCGTAACTATGACAACCTGCAAGTGTGTATTGGGATGTTTCTGCACAGGGGAAGGCTGCATTTCTTTTTCTTTTTTTAAGGGGGGGGTGGAGAGAAAAAAGATGAGAAAAATCCAATTGCGTTTTGATTGATTGCTGAGATCAGTGTTCCATTAATGGGGTTTAAGGAAGGCATGCGGCGGAGATTGTCGGTTTCCTCTCAAAAAGAAATCAAATATATTATTTGTGTGTGTCTGCACCTGCTGCCCCAATTTCCCTGCCTCAGGTGTGCTGCAGCTTAAATCAAGTGCGGCAGTGATAGAGCAGCTAACAAGCCGTGCACCTCAGCAGCACACAGAGCTTGTCACAGCAGACAGAAGCCACACGGCTCTGTTGTGGGTTAATTGGTTCTGCACTGTTCAGAGCATCTTCATTATCTGCAGAGAAATGGAGGCACAGTAAATGCATGCACTCTGACTCGCCGTCTGCAGCTCTGTAGATTGTTTTCTTGCTCTTATTCCGACTCTGCTTCTCTGTCATTTCAATATTTCATCCTGTCGGCTCTGAAAAGTTACAGTGGAATCAATCCAAGACTCAGACTCCACAGTGAAGAACGTACATACTGTATGTAAAAAAAAAAACTCTCAGACAAGCCCTGCAGCAGAATCCACTTCTCAGCCTACAGTACATATGTTTACACTTTGTTTCACACAATAGTCTCGTAAACAATACTTCCCCTCAATATGCTCAAACTGAGCCATCTGTGCCACAGCATCAGAGTGGAGGAAGCACACGTTGACCATATTGGACATGAAAATCAACATCTAGATAGATTTTGCTCCAGGAGTGATCAGAGAAAGATTTTGTGTACGGCCATTTTTCCCCTGATCCTTACAAGGCGACGATTGTATATCTCACCTAATCTGTAAAAAGAACAAGGTGCATTATGGGTAGGATTGCTATAGTCTGTCGTTACCACAACATCAGCATGATGAATTGTGGACAGACGTGTCAACTCATAAGGAGATGCAGTTGCTCATATAGATTTGGTACGATGACTACATGAGCTCACAGCTTTTCGACAACACACAAGAACACTAAAATCTACTCGCTCTTTTTTCTACAGTGATAAATGCAAACAATATGAGCAGAGCAACTTTGTGAACAGCTTCTCCAGAAGTGAGACGACCCGTACAGGAAGTTTCAAGAAAGTGCGCCACTAAAGAATATCTCTTATATCTGCTCATGCTATCTTGAAATCAAATCTCTTGTAGACAATCAAAAGTGTTCTTAAAAGTTCCCATTGGAAGTTCAGTTGTTTGAGGAGAAGCTTGATTTTCAGTCCTCACCGTTGTGTTTTACTCAAAAGTGATGAGCTGACAGATGTTGTCATAGTTGTATGAATGAATGTCTGTGTTGTATTTCCTGTCTCTGCAGGTCACCGGTGATGGCAGGCGGACTGTTTGCCGTGGACAGGAAGTGGTTCTGGGAGCTGGGAGGATATGACACAGGTCTGGAGATCTGGGGAGGAGAGCAGTACGAGATCTCCTTCAAGGTAAAGGATGGAAGAACGGTGATTTGAGCTCCTTCCTCATGGCATCAGGGTCCAACACATAATATATGTATTTGAGAATCCTGCTCAGTTTGTCGTTTCCTTTTGAGCTTAGTTATACATGACCAGACCTGTTCCAAAAATACAACTTACTTACTGATCCTGCAGGCTTGGGTTGAAGTCCTGAGTTTTTACCACGACTGCTAATCTAAACCTGAAACACCATTTGTTATGCTTATGCTCAAAATGCAGCTAAGGTGTAATTACTGTTGTACAGATGACTTGTGTTTATATGTCGGTGTGGACAGTGACCCTCTGAGATGGAGGACTGTAGTTCCACCCTGACCCTGAGCATTTTAAAGACCCTTAGGATTTCTTCTTTATGAAGCTGGAGAGGAACGATCGACCCGCCTCGACCCCATTGCTGAGCCTTCAAAAACTCCTCTAATGTTTTAATATTGTTGTGAAGCTTTTCATCTTATTTAAGTAATTACTGAGATAATATCCTCGTCCAAGGTTATTATTTGAGCCGAGATTATCATGCTATTAAATTTTTTGCTATCAGCACATGCCCAGCTGTGCCTCCTAGGTCTACTTATTGCCCTCAGATATTCAATTTGGTTTCCTTTTTATTAAGATCCCCATTAGCTGATAGAGCGCAGACATCCAATCTCCTGAGGTGAGAAGATTAACAGGCTCTCTTACTAATCCTTACAACCACACTGCCAGGTCCTGCTCGCATGTGAAACACAATCACTGGATTCACTTAATCAAAAAGGCTCCATCCTGGTCACACTGCGGTGGGAACATTGGGAACTGTCTACTCACACAGTGAAATAATCTCACCGAGCGCAGAGGCAATCTGACCTCACAAGCCGAGCGAGAGGATAGAGCGAGCCGTAAAACTGACTGCTGGATCTTTTTTATTTCCCACCCGCAGATTGGACTTTCTGTTATGCAAACATTTCTCAGAGACAGAGCCGCTCTGGAGGCACAAAAATAATTAAACCTCCCTGGATGGAGCCGGAAAAAAATCTGTTATTTGGAGTAAGAGTCGGCTGGAGTGAAACTTTTTTTAAAAAGCAAACATTAAAATAATAATTAGATGATGATTTTTTTTATTCAGGACTGTTTCAGAAAGGAGCTGTCATGAAAATGCAGCATCACCTCTCAGAGTTCCCATGACACTAGTGTTGTACTCAAGACATTTAGGGATCAGGACCGAGTCAAGACCAAGACCAAGACAGGGGGAGACCTAGACAAGACCAAGACATTTAGGGATCAATATCACTGATAATCATCATCTTGTGTGCAGGAGGCGTGTCACAAACTTAGACTGTAAAACCTGGAGTCCACCTAGTCTGAAGCCGAGACAATATCGTGTAAAAGACCTTAAAAAAGCGGTCTCGAGACCAAGACCGATTTCGAGTTCTACAACACTTCATGACACCACCATCAAACGGTCTGACAGAAAAACAACTTTCAGGGTCAATGAGGTGGACGTTATCCATCGTGCTTATCACTGACTTTCTGTGCGACTTCTATTCGAGTCGTCGTGACAACCAGAACCCAAATGAAGTCTACATGTAACCCGGCACACTGTCAGTCCATTCAGAACGGTGCAACATCCGACGCTGACCTTGAACCATCCAAAGTCTCTCGTTTATTGCTTCCAGCCTTTCGGTTGGGTGGGACACAGGAGACGCTGAAACGTTGTATGCATTTATGTTTTATTTATCCAACGACACCAACGGAGACAAATTCAGGTTTTTAGTCGCACTTTTAGTCAGAGCTGGATTTTAGTCTTGAAGCTCCATCTTTTATTCATGCAGGCGGAGTGAAGTCTGTTGTTCTGTAGTTTTGTTCTCCTGTGTGATCCGAGTCTGTTCGCTAGTGTGGGAGCTTCATCTGCAGCACACAGAGCAGGGTGGGAGGGAGGGGACGCTGCTGCTGCAGTGAAAAATGATGGCAACTCAGAGTCTAAGGGCCGGATGTGCCTGGGTGGTTTAACGGCCTTTGCAGAGAGAGTATATTTTAGTTATGGTCAGAGATTCACTGGTTCACCTCCTTTACTCTGTCTGTGGAGCTCAGCCCAAAAACATTTGGATCCTTCTGAAGACATCAATGTTTCAAAACAGAATCCAGTATGCGTTCAAGTCTTAATAATTATCTTGAACTTCTGGGCACCATGAATATGTTAAATCCTCAACAATCCTGGGGAAACATCCTGTACAAACGTCCTCTGTTGTTCCTTATCTTCATGACTAGCTTGTCAGTCACATTTCTGCAGCAGGTTGTATTGGGGCATCCATTAGCCTTCATATGAAGGCGGACTTCTATAGGTGGACTCATTCCTTCTAGGGACGAGGTAAATTAACTTTTAGAGATTGAAGGAGAGATGCCTGGCATGCAGCTGTTGGTGTACAGGGTGAAGAAGGGAAATGATGCCTCCTTAGAGTATGCAGGGCAGAATCAGATCAGAGAGGTATCATATAGTCCTATCAGGCCTCCATTGGGGGAATACTGGAACCTCTTGGGTGTCAGCTTTGGTCCCTTCTGCCTTAAGAGCTCTACATTAAGAGGAGATTGGTGAATCGGCAGTGTTGTGCAAGCTGTTTTGACCAATCAGGCATCAGCAGGTTTTGGTGTTATCCGCACTAATGATATCCCAGATCCATCAACTCTATTCTGGGAAGAGACAGACCTTTGAATTTGAGGAGTATGTCATGGACTTCCTTACTGTAGGTATACAAAGGTCAAACAGCTGGTTCTAACATCTGTTTACACACGTTTATTTTATATTCCTGTCCATGCTCTAGACCTGTGAGCAGCTTCCTCCGGCGTCTAACCTTCAAATAGATAAAAACAAACTTCTCCCTGTAATAAAGAAAAAGCTCCTCTGAAGCCCTGAACCTCACTCTCTTCCCCTTGTTTTTGTTTTCATGTTTAAATGTAACGCTTAATTTCTTCTCTTTTTATTCCGCCATTGTCTTCAAAACAAAAACCCATTTTCCCTCCCGCCCGCCGTCTCTAAGTCCTCCTTTTCTTCCTGATCCTCTTCATGGCCTCACTTTCCTTTCTCGAGGTTTATTTTCAACTCTGGCAACCCGAGAAAGAGAATCACAGCTTTTGTCCTCATTATTGTTGGAGGATTTCAACAAGGAGCAGCCGCTGGATGTCTGTGTTGGAGATAGATGGAGGAGAAAACAATACAGAACTTTAAAAAAAAAGATGTTTTATTGTACTCTTAAAACAAACTTATTAAGGGGCTTAAAACAAAAATCAATCTCAATGTGTGGCAGATTACAGCTGAAATCACACCATCAGGCTGGCTCAGCTCAGTCACATGACATTTGTAGTACGGAAATGGACCAATCACGGTTCCAACTGGCTGGAGGAAGTTCTTGCACAATTGAAATATCTGGTTGTATCCGTACACCCTTGCTCAGTGGAAGCAGAACCACGATCAGATTCCCAAATGTCTTTGCTTTATATGGAATCATATTTGTGCCAAAAAAATCAAAGACTTCCTGGAACGTCCGGGGCATTGAGCTGTCACTCATAAACTCATTAGCCAATTGGGACGCATTCCTTATAAAGCCCACCCACTCGAGAGGTTTGTGACAGAATCGCAAACAAAAAGTCAGACAGCGCAAACGAGAAAAATTACAGAGAGCAAAAGTCTGATCAGTGAGAAAGAAAAAGAGGAAACTGTAAACAAAAGGACCGACGATAAGTAAAGTAAAAGGCTGATTATTTACATGATTACACAAATATTTTTCCTGATTGCTCCTATGCAAAATGTCAGACAGCATCTGAAAGCTCCATGGCAACAGCCACCATGCCTGTTTAGATGCGTCTTCCCCTTCTTATCGCAAAATATGAAAAGAGAAACGTCGGCAGGACATATAATGGAGGAGAATATCTGCAGAGTTCCAGCTGACGGGGAATATTTGTTAGTGTGTGAGAGAAGACGAGAGTATAGAACAGCTGAAGAGAGACAGGAAGTGTTGGGAGGAGAGAGAGTTGAGGGCTGCAAAGTGCAGACATTTGAATCAAAACCATGGTGGCGGCGCTGAGGACCGTTGCCTCTTAATGTACATGGGTCGGCTCATAACCGCTAGGATATCAGCGCCCCAGAACAAGAGCATTTTTGACTGTGTTTGTATTTTAGCCGCATTTGAGTCGGTCATCTCTCAACCAGAAGGTCAGGGGTTCAATCCCCAGCTCTTGCAGCAACATGTCCGATGAGTCCTTGGGCAAGCCACTTAACCCCAAGTTGCTCCTGCTGAAACTTGGAAACGGAAACCAAGTTTCAAAAGGAAACTTCCTATATTATTGTCAGTGCTTCGTCCTGATTTCACTCGTGAGGTCGTGTTTGATGGTCGGACCAATGTGACAGTGTGAGCACATAAATCTTGAGCTTGGGTTGTGTGTCATAAAAGATTCACTCATCCAGTGTGAGATGACATTTATATGGCTGTACAGTGTATACCCGGCCTCAGATTCTGTGGCTTTCCCCAGTGGCTCGACGCGTCTTGAATCCATCCCTCATGCTCAGGTGAAACGTGGTCACTTCTGTTCTTCCTCCTCTATCCCGCTCATTTTCATCTTTACAGCCCATGCCTCTGAATTCCCCGTCTCCCTCCTCTTTGTCTCCGGGGATTCATAAGTCTGTTAGAACCGCTGTACCTCATGATACTTTCTTCTCTACAGTCTTTTCTCTACAAGTTTTTCTCTGAGTGTAAAGTTAGACAAAGGATCAGGTGATGAAAGCACTCTCTCTCTCTCTCTCTCTCTCTCTCTCTCTCTCTCTCTCTCTCTCTCTCTCTCTCTCTCTCTCTCTCTCTCTCTCTCTCTCCTCTCTCTTCTCTCTCTCTCTCTCTCTCTCTCCTCTCTCTCTCTCTCTCTCTCTCCTCTCTCTCTCTCTCTCTCTCTCTCTCTCTCTCTCTCTCTCTCCTCTCTCTCTCTCTCTCTCTCTCTCTCTTCTCTCTCTCTGTCTCTCTCTCTCGCCTCTCTCTCTCTCTCTCTCTCTTCTCTCTCTCTCTCTCTCTCTCTCTCTCTCTCTCTCCCTCTCTCTCTCTCTCTCTCTCTCTCTCTCCTCTCTCTCTCTTTCTCTCTCTCTCTGCAGGTATGGATGTGCGGTGGTCGGATGGAGGACATCCCGTGCTCCAGGGTAGGACACATCTACAGGAAGTACGTCCCCTACAAAGTCCCCGGTGGGATCAGCCTGGCAAAGGTAATCCTTCAGACCAAAAACGCACAATACAGCAGATTATTCAAAGTCTCTGTTTTGAGTGGGAATCTTTCAATATCGCATGATTTAGATTCTCGGGGTCCCAATTCCATTTAGCAACAAATTTAAACTGACTCCTGATTCAAAAACATTCCCTGCTTGTTACAAAGGGAAGATTATTCCAGGATCTGTTCCAGTCTGCTGCTAAACTTTATTATTTGAGAGTGTCAAACTATTATTAGACACTAAAATGATCGATTAAATGTGTGAATTCAGCTTTTATATTTGTAACATTTTCATCAGCTGATTGCAGTGATGTAAATACCTAATCCCTAAAACACAGTTCAGTCTGGACCTTTTTGAATTAGCACCGGCTAAACATAAACAACAAAAACTAGCCCTAGGCTTTGTGATGAGGGACATAGCCAAGGCTTCGTCTGAGTCCAGGTTTGTTTGTTTTAGTTGTATCACATAATAAGATTCGGCTGGTTTCAAGAACAAGTTCATGGGTGTGGGTCGGCTATGAAGTCCGGCAGCTTCCAAGTCGGAGTCCATACGGGTCCTCTCCCAGCTGCCGCTTCACCTGAGTCCTATTAAGTAATTTAACAGCAACACAGCAGCACCTCTCTGTGCACACCTGGTGTGTTTAAGACGATCGGCTCAAACCCATTCTCTATTCTCTATTTGAAGAAGGTTTGTGTGAGATGGTAGAGTGCGAGTCCGTGGTCATCCTAAACTAACGGCCCGTTATAACGTTTAATTATGCTTCACTTGTAAACTACTTTAATATGAATAAAATGTGTGTATGAAGTATTTATCAGAAACTAAATCTAAAGCCTTAACGTTGACGGTGCTGTAGGAGAGAAGGTCTCTTTAATAATTTACATTTATTTATTTATTTAAGTTCTCGTTGTTCCACTTACTTACATGGACGTACGACTGCAGATCAGTAAAGTGATGCCGTGTGCAGCGGTTCCACTTACTGGTGTTGTTGTACTCCAAATCAGTCTTGGTCTCGAGGCCACCTTTTGAAGGTCTCGTCTCAGAATCAAAAGCGTTTTTACTCGGTCTCAGACTGGGCGGACTCCAGACTGATCGCTTTTATTTTATTTTTATTAAAATGTATTTAACCAGGAGAACCTCAATGAGATTAAGAAGCTCATTTGCAAGAGTGTCCTGACCAAGAGGGGCAGCAGCACAACAAAAAGTAACAGACTTAAAACACAGAGTAATTACAAACACAGTTTAACATGTCCTGAGTCACAGAGCAGAACGTCATCAGTCAAAGCATCTTCCTCCAACACCTTCAATCTACTTTTAAAATGATTTAAAGAGACCAGCTCCTCTAGACACAGATCATCCTGCAGGAGATTCCAGGCTGCAGGAGCAGCGTACCTGAGACTCCTTTTCCCCATTTCAAGACGCACTTTGGGAACAGATAACAACAACAAGTTTTGTGACTGGGTTGCAGAGAGAACACTGTGTCTTCCAGCACTTTTCACATGAATACAATTACACAAGTATACGAGATTAGAAGGAAAACGTCTCTTTATAAAACAAAAAATAACTTCAATTCATTCATAATTTTATTTTTATCCCCGGGTTACGTCCGCAACCTTCCCGGTGTTACGGTCTAAGTGAGGTATTTCATGATTACCTACTAACTTAATGATGATGGTCTCCATATTATTGATGATGATGATGGTAATGACGATGGTTTTTGTTTGATAACGACGACTTATAAGATGGTTTCTATACTGATTAGAGCTCTCAAGAACTGCCCTCAATGTTGTGCTTTGCCTCTGGTCACTTCCTGTCAGCACCTGTGTGTCCAATCAGACTCAAAGCTGATCGTTTGCTCTTACTGACATTGTTCCCTTTTTTCTAGATCCTTGCTTGTGTTGTTCTTACTCTCTGATGTACGTCGCTTTGGAGAAAAGAGTCTGCTAAGAGAATTGTAGAATTGTAGAATTAAAACAATAACTGATAGAACAGGGACCAGGAAGAGGGGTTACTGAATAATTAGGCCTTGGACTAAGATGTCAGGATGGAGAACAGGTAGTACACGCCCACACATACACAGGTACAGACAAACGTCAGCCTTGTTGAAGCGAGCGCTTAAGTGGAGCCAAAATAACCGATTGTTTCATTTCTGTTCCCTACTTTCTCTCCTAAGCACCCTCGTCTTTCTCCTCTGCGTGCATGAGAGAGCACTTTACAGTCGGCTCAGCTTCCACTCACAAAAGACCCCCCTGATGAGACGCAGTAGTGTGCAGTCGATCCTCTATCTACGACTTATAGCCTTTGCAGGTGTTACCGTAAAGAATGAGCTTAACTTTCTTTGTTCACCTCGCACTACATTCAAATCACCTCCACAGAATGAGAAATCGTCTAAAAAGCGCCAAATCATCTGGGTCGTCGTGGCTGAGCGCCGTTCATTATGTATGCCTCTGCTGCAGCGTGCAGCTCGGCTCTGGTTGGCTCAGTATGCCACTCGGAGGCACTGGCCTTTTGTTTTGATTTTTTCATTCAGACCCATGGTCTTTAAACGGGACATTGGTGGAATGCTGATGGTCCTGAGTTAACCTTTCCCTGCAGATAGAGGAAAACATTTGCATAAATCTGCTCGTTCTGAACAGCAAATCATGATTATTAGCTTTTTGGAAGTTTCACTTTTTTGTTCATGCAGACTAACAGAAAAGGTCGGCTGGAATTCAGTCGGCTTCCCATGGTGAACACTTTGTAACGTGCTACTGAGTCGGATAGTTTGGATGTATGTTGGGTTATTAAAGTCAATAAAACAGATTGTCCAACAAACTCCCCAAGAACGATCCCCATGACTTAAAATCTTTCTATGTGATGTTTCACACTTAAATGTAGAAATCAAGTATCTCCTCTGAAAATAACTCTGTGAGTCATGACTGTCTACAATGGGTGTAACACCCGAGTCCCACTGTCTGTGATGTTTTCAGAGTTTTCAGAGTCCTATCTTCACTTTGTTTACATCGCCGGGACGGCCGGCTGACTCCTCCCCTCGTGTATAAAAGTTGTTTAATTGAGGGACTAGAGAAAAGAAGAATAACATACTGTACTCACTGCTTAACTGTGTTTCTAGATCACGCTCATTTCAGGTCAATTTACATGCAGTGTGAAGATACCAGCATAATAAAGATCGCTAGCATTAGCATGCTAACACAACAATGCAGCGCGAGTTGTTTTGGTTTCATGCTGGTGCTCAAGGGCGACATCTGCTGGATCAAAAAATCACATATAAAGCCTTTAAAGCAGATCAAGTTTACATTTGTTTTCATAAAACAGTCGAATGTAAGCATTTTTGGTCAATTCATTTAACAACCTGACGCTCTCTTTCTCTTTGATTTCAGAACCTGAAGCGTGTGGCCGAGGTCTGGATGGACGAGTACGCCGAGTTCGTCTACCAGCGCCGGCCCGAGTACCGCCACCTCTCTGCAGGAGACATGACGGCGCAGAAGGAGCTGAGGAACCGCCTCAACTGCAAGAACTTTAAGTGGTTCATGAGCGAGGTGGCCTGGGATCTGCCCAAACACTACCCCCCTGTGGAACCTCCTGCTGCAGCCTGGGGATGGGTAAGGTTATGATGCTTTTTTGCCTTTTTGAGGAAGTCAGAGGGGTATACCATGAAGCTAGTTCAACATACCCAGTTTTGTCTTTGAATAAGCTAGCTAAACAAAGCTGGAAGTCGCAGTTAGAGATATAGAGTATCACCAAGGTGGTTACTAACTTTCTGTGTTAACTCTTTCTGCTCCTGGCTGTGTGAGCGCTAACATAAAAGACAGATTAAAGTTCACCACACTGTGCAGCACTCACACTCAGACATGTCAGCAGACTCACTTTTCCAGACTCAGAGATTGCTCATTGATCTCATTTGAGGTACAAAAGCAGCGGCCATAGTTGCAGCCGCATCTGTGAAAGAATGCATAACCTGCAGAGTGTGTGCAACCCAAATCAGCCTGTGGTAAAGCACAGTTAATATTTATAAGCTAATGGTACCAATGCTTGATTTTTTTTGGATAATTTGGACATTATATCGATATCTAATCCGGTAACATGTCCCTCATTGTCACGCACAAACATACTCTTTGTCTCACATTTGGTCTGTCGGAACTCGGTCCCCCTTATAATTGAAGTCACTTTCAGACCATTTACACTCTGAACAAAATGAGCACCAACCATGCCATGGGTTAACAGTCAGTTAACATGGTGATGTAGCCAGGTTAAAAAAAAAGAGAGCAACTGAAAACTCTGACTTCAGGCTCAACAGATCGGGCTCATTCTCTAATTTTGTGGTACTTTGTGGTACACCCACCAGGTCAAAGATGGGTAGCTGTAAAGGCGTCCATACACATTCTGGTCTGAGTGTGCATCATCTGATGGAAACATTTTCCAGTGAAAACAATGATGAAACAGGTTTGCAATAAGACAGGTCGTTGCCCTCTCCTCCTGCACGCTGCAATCCATGGACCGGTCGATCTGGGTTCACAACTAACAAACAAACTGACAGCACCGAGTCCTCTGGAACGCAGGTCCATGTTCAGTTGTGTTTAATAAATAAGAACAGGTTTTTGTTTATAGTGTCACATGTAGGAGGTCCAAGTACAGAAATATGATTCTTTAACAGATACCCATCACCACCAGTATTCTGCTGGATCGATCATGATGGACTCTGGTGTGAATTCTCCAAAGATGTCTAAAAGTGCTGTTTGACATAAAGCCGCATTTATATGTGTGTACATGTGTGTGTGTGTGTGTGTGTGTGTGTGTGTGTGTGTGTGTGTGTGTGTGTGTGTGTGTTGCAGATACGGAACATGGGCAGCGGGATGTGTATGGAGATCAAACACTTTGTGTCAGGGAGTCCGATCCGCCTGGAGAGCTGTGTGAAATCGCGGGGCGAGGTGGGCTGGAGTCACGGCCAGGTGAGGGTCATTCATTTCTCTTTCTCTGGAGGTTTTTACATTCACACGTTTATGGAGTATGGATCATGAAGAGCTGCATGTGTCTGAAAGGACAATGACATCTGAACTCACATTAATATATGGTTCATTGTTGAAGCATTTCAGGGGGGGTGCACAAACTCCATCCTTCATACTGGCTGTGCGCTAAAAGGCTAAGTGGACACGGGGCCTTACTGTATACTTTAAACAAACATGCAGTGAGATTTCTTGCGCTTATCAGGGCCAGGTCGCTGTGGCAGCAGCAGCATGTTGCCAGATGGAAAATTGAGCGATATACTGTTCTGCAGCTTTAAAATTATCATGTTTTTTCTCAAAACTATGGTACATTTGGTAGAGATAAAATGAGAAAGTGTGCTAGCTGCTCTGTCTGCTGGTGTGTAGCTAAGCTCTTAGCATCTTTGTTTGTTTGGAGGAAACTCATTTTGGGCGTTTGTATCCATGATGTCATTCTTTCGGTCACTTCCCAAAGCTCATGACCATAGGCGAGGGCAAAGGTCGACCGGTAAACAGAGAGCTTTGCCTTCAGGCTCAGCTGCTTCCTCTTCACTACAACGCCTGCATTACCGCTGCTGCTGCAACAGACCGCCTGTCGATCTCAAGCAAGACCCCAAGATACTTAAACTCCTTAATTTGAGACAGAGACTCACTCCCCACCTTCAAACATAACATACACAAGTCTAAAGGGGTTTCCTCAAAACTTCTCATTCAGATAGTTTTGCCATTCATTTCTTCTGTTCCTGCAGGTGTTAACATTTGGTTGGAGGGAGGACATCCGGGTGGGCGACCCCATGCACACAAGAAAGGTGTGCTTTGACGCCGTCTCCCACAGCAGCCCCGTCACCCTGTACGACTGTCACGGCATGAAGGGGAACCAGCTGTGGCGCTACAGAAAGGTACGGGGGGAGGGGCACTGATTTTGCTCAGTTGTTACAGGCAATGGAACGCTGGACCAGTTAGACGCATTTCTGAAAATATCTTTAACTTTTGCATCATACCTTTCTTAAATAATACTCAGCCTACCGTCTCCTCCTCCCTCCAGGATAAAAGTCTGTATCACCCCGTCAGTAACAGCTGCATCGACTGCAGCCCGAGCGAGCGGCGAGTCTTCATGAACGCGTGCGACCCGTCCTCCCTGAGCCAGCAGTGGCTGTTTGAGAGAACCAACGCAACCGTGCTGGACCACTTCAACCGGGGCGCCAACTGAGGCCGCTCAAGTGGTAAGATGACCAGGATGTAAAATAAAATTAAAAAAAACATTTCACACACAACAACAACAACAACAACAACAAAAAAAAAAAAAAAAAAAAACCGTCCGCTGTGAGACGTCTGATATGTCTGCTTGTGTTTTTGCTCTCGTCCAGATCACAATCCAAACTAGAGGTGAACACTGTGCTGCTTCAGCAACGTTCCTCATGGCTCTGCGGGGGATCTGGTGCACGGGCTGAGAGCTGAAGAGACCGCACGTTATCAACATCCAGATTACAATCGTACAGCACGAGTCTGTGATGAGGAAGGAGGTGAAAGAGAAAACATGCTTAAATCAAATTCACGTTCAAGAATACGTCTGTCATTGACTTCCTGTTTTCTGTCCTACAACAGGATGGGAGAGCCGTGGTGAAACCTGATCGTCCTGCACAAACGGAGCACTGACACCCTGATCTTTGGACATCACGTGTTTCTAAGTGTTGGGACTTTGTGAGGACGCTCCCGTCTTTCTCGTGTGACTCCCTAAAACACAGACTCTGTAGGACTCAACAGATTGTCTTTTACAACGCCTCTTTCATCACATCTTTTTCAACTGTTGCCTTAGCATTTCCAACAATAGGAAATACCAGCCCCCCCACCCCCTTGTGCAGAGGTACCTTGGTAGCATATTGTGTGGACTGATTCTGCAGCTTTAACTCTGTGAGAGCTGGAGGAAACATTCGAAAAACTGTAAAGAAGTGTTCCTGCAGAGTGCAACAAAGTCTCTGTCTCTGTCAGATCAACAACTTGTACAAACTCGTATCCAAAGTTGCAAATGTTTATTTTTCTACTGAGCAATAAAGTTATAGATCAAATCTAAAAAACGTTTTGCACATTTTATTTTTATATATTATGAAGCATTTGTGCTCTGGGACGAAAAGCGCTGCACCTCCCTCCTGTCTCCATGACAACAGTCTGTTGACAACGGTTACCGCTGTGTGAGCGACCCGGCTCTGTTTTTTATTTGAGATCGTTTATTTCTCTGATCAGACACGGAGCGAGGAGGATGTGGGTACAAGACACAATCTGTTGGCGGCAAAACAAGGGGGAATATCAAACATTTGGAAAAGAGCACCGGTGACTTCAACAACATCTTTCTGAAAAATTTAACGATTTTGTACTGGAGCATTCAGAGGGCTGCACAGAAAAGGTAGAGCGCTTAGAAAAATGACCCTGGGCACTGAGGTTTTTCTCCAGGTATCCATCCTTTGCTGCAAAAACTCTGTACTAAAAAAAGACGCTCAGAATAAAAACGCTAGGTAGAGATAAAAGTCACATAAAAGAGTGGATAACAGTTATAATGGGGATAACATTTTCATTGTTATAAACGTTTGTTTGAAAGAGTTGGATTGTTGATTAAGAAAACGTCAGAATTCTCCATCTTTACTTTCTGGCCGAGCTGGTTAAAGGATTTCTACGCTTCATAAAAGCCGGTTAAATTGGGAACCAGCACCACTTAGTTCGACTGCAGAGGAACGGCGAGATTTACCAGCTCTAGACCAGGCTCGCAAAGGAAGAGCGCTCCAAAGCTGTTACATAGGGGAGAGACACATTTAGTAACTGAATCTAAATGAGATCAACCGCTTCTTCACTCACATGATCGTGCAACAAAGATTGTAAAGACTTTGTGAAACATCTTTGGTTCACAGTGACAATAAGGCAAAGCAAGTTTATTTATGTCGCACATTTCAACAACAAGGCAATTCAAAGAGTAAAAGTTTAAAATCTTATTAAAGCTGTTTAATTAAAGACAGCTGTGAACAGGTGAGTCTTCAACCTGGATTTAAAAGAGCTGAGAGTTTCAGCAGACCTGCAGTTTTTCTGGGAGTTTGTTCCAGATATAAGGAGCATAGAAACTGAACGCTGCTTCTCCATGTTTGGTTCTGATTCTGGGGACAGAGAGCAGACCTGTCCCAGACACTGAGCCCCCTCCACAGTGGAATGGAGCCCTCAGGTGTGTGACTCAGCACCTGTACGGGAGCAGACATTTTATTGGAGATGTGATAAAGCAGGGGGTCAAACTAACTCACCCCCCAGGCTCAGCGGGGTGGGGGGGGGGGACCTGCACAGCCAGCCAACATTTCCACACAAAGGACAGCAGCTGCTGAGGTCCACAGATCATTTGCCACTTCCACTTTTCTCTTATTGATGGAGTGAGTCATCAACCTGAGTGGAGAATCCAATACTCAGAGAATGAGTCTGCAGATATTGGCTGTCTGATGCCATCAAGGTCACACAAACAAACGCTTGGTGCCAATGCAGGACCTGCTCCAACTTTTTCTTTCTTTCAGGCTTCAGGTTTTTATTCCACTTAATGTTTTTGTCCTAAAGTGGAAAGAGAGAACTTTTGGGACGCTCTGAGATGCCATGTGAAAACCAACATCAGCACCTTTGACTGACGAGGTAGAACAGCTGATAGCTGCTTTAGAGAATACGAGGTTGAGGATAACAGGAAGTGGACGGTTAAGAAGACGGTTAAGAGCCGGATAACAAACCGGGAAGGAACATTACAGGTGAGACTAACGACACAGGTGAAGAGAATCAGGGCGATCAATATGAAAGGAAACAATGCAAAGAGAGGAAGTAAGACAAAAAACACAGGGGACAAGAACTACAAAATAAAACAGGAAACACTTAAGACACACTCAAGAAAGTAAAAGTATCAACAAACACAGGATGTAGATAAACACGAGGATATGAACTACAAAATAAAACAGGAAATACCAAAGACTAAGCCGGGAAACAAGAAGCACAAGGACACAACTGAGAAAATAAAAACAGAAAATCACAACCAAGCAACCCTCAATCAGGATTTTTCTTTTTTTTTTAAGAATATTTTTTTCTCCTTTAATGGAGAGAGAGGACAGTGGATAGAGTCAGAAACCAGAGAGAGAGGACAGTGGATAGAGTCTGAAACCAGGGAGAGAGAGGACAGTGGATAGAGTCTGAAACCAGAGAGAGAGAGGACAGTGGATAGAGTCTGAAACCAGAGAGAGAGAGAGGACAGT